ATGGAGTGAAGTGGACATTTCCCAGGGCAGTTTTAGTGGGGTGCTGGGTAAAGCCTGACTTGGAGCGGCCTCAAGAGAACAGGAGGAGAGGAACTGGAGAAAAGCATGGTCAACTCTTCTGAGGGGTTTTATCATAAAAGGGGACAGAAAAGTGGGACAGTAGCTGGAGGAGCAGGTGGAATTGAGAGATTTTTTTAAAAGATGGTGTTAAACATCATGAATATGTGCTTTAGGTGGGTGGAAATGATCCACTAAAGAAAGCGGGGAGCAGAAGGACTTGCTGGGGCTACATCCTTGAGCAGTGAGGGGTCGGGCTCTGGGGTGCAGGGGAGAGGCTGCCTTAGACGGGTGGACCACTCATCGCAGTGATGGGAGAGAGGGCCAAGGAGACGCGGTAGGGATGGGTAGCTTGAGCAGTGATGTTCCTTATGATTTTCTCAGTGAAACAGGAAGCACAGTCAGCTGCTGAGAGTGAAGGGGGAGAATGTGTTGGAGGCTTGAGATGAGAGCAGGCAGTGTGAAGTCGCTGTCTAGGAGCATGGGAGAGTAGACCAGGGGAAGATGGTAGGACTTCCAGGCAGCACTATGGGCCACTTGAGGGCTAGGATCATAAATTTAAAGCGAGATCAGTGAGGTCATGTGACTCCACAGGCACATTCAGGGTCAGGGGTACAGGTGCAGAGTAGGTGGAGGGTCAGATGTAACCAGGTCAGTTTTTCTAGCGAATGTGACCAAAGCAGAGTAGATGAAGGAGGTTGAGATGGCTTGCAAGGGACTTGGGCTGGGCAAAGAGGGAGGTAAACACATGAGGGAGGTGAGGGAGAGTGGAAAGGAGCTAGCACCAATAGACTGACAGTCCTGGAGGGATGGAATAAAGCTCTGAGTTACAGTGATCGAGGGAGTGAGGTGGGAAGTTGAAAAAGAAGTCAAACGAAGGAGGCTATAGCTCAGTGGTAGAGTGCATGCTTAGCACGCACCAGGTCCTGGGTTCAATCCCCAGCACCTCTGGTAAAAAATAAATAAATAAACCTAATTACTGCCCCCCAAATAACTTCATTAATTTAAAAAATGAATGCATTTTTTAAAAAAAGAAAAGGAAGTAAAACTATATTAGCTACCTGAAGTGATTTCCATCAACACCCATGAAGAGAGGGGCCATCCCATCCTCCCAGCCAAGATGGGGAAAGAAGATTGATCAAGTTAGTGTCTAATGCCTACAGCAATGTAGGCCTCAGCTGACTCCAGCAGCCTGAGCCAGAGTTCTTGAGTGTCACTCACTCAGATGTGACACACTCTTGGCCAGATGTCATGTCTGTAGTTTCACATGTTCAAGTCTCTAAATCCTTCCAGGAGGGGGTGGGGCAGGACCATGGACCTGCTGTCTCATGGTGCCATCACCACGTCTGTTCCTCAGCTTATCAGCTGACCTTGACATCTTGCCGGCTTCCTGGCTCTCCTCCCGTGCCCTCAGAAGGAATGTGTATGCTCCCCAC